GCCCCAAACCGTCCTGCATCTTCTGTTCTAACCTCATTAATACAGACCTTTGTCGTTGCTCATCTCTCCCCGTGCAAACACCTGAGTGGAATCTTAATTGAATACAAACGTCTTCTCCTTTTCTTCATTCATCATGTCATTATCTCTGAGACGCCTCATCCTTCACTGTTCTTCTGCTGTTGGGAAATCGGAGAACCTCTTTTTCTGTACGACTGCACTGTTTCTTTTTTAGGCCGTGCTGTTTTTTCCTGTTCTTTAACTGGAGCTTGGTGTTTTTTAAATCATGTTAGAAAGTGCTTTCTTTCGGCTTTGCATCTCAGACTCGATGGATCAAACTGCTTTATTAACTTAATTGCAACAGGTTTTCAATTTCGATTTTTTTCTCCTGGCTGGGATGAACCTGTTCTGTTCTGCGGCTCTGCATTGACCCCACAGCTCTCCTGTCCCTTTCTGTCGCTCCGTCAGCGTCTGCTGTCTCTGCAGAAATTGCAGCTCTTTGATTCTAACCCTATCTCTACAAGTTCAAAACTAAGGTCTTCTGTTTCATTCCCTTTGGCAGAGACCCGATGATGGAGGCTGAGAATTTCACCATTTTTATCAAGAACAGCATCCGATTCCCGATGTTCAACTTCACCAAGTGAGTGAGAAAGTGATATGGTAACTGTGTCAGGAGGAAAGAGCACAAGAACTCTGGGAAGAGGGTTGAGTGGACCTGTGTCAGGAGGAAAGAGCACAGGGACTCTGGGAAGAGGGTTGAGTGGACCTGTGTCAGGAGGAAAGAGCACAGGAACTCTGGGAAGAGGGTTGAGTGGACCTGTGTCAGGAGGAAAGACCACAGGAACTCTGGGAAGAGGGTAGTGGACCTGTGTCAGGAGGAAAGACCACAGGAACTCTGGGAAGAGGGTAGTGGACCTGTGTCAGGAGAAAAGAGCACAGGAACTCTGGGAAGAGGGTAGTGGACCTTTGTCAGGAATAAAGAGCACAGGACGTCTGGGAAGAGGGTAGAGTGGACCTGTGTCAGGAGGAAAGAGCACAGGACCTTTGGGAAGAGGGTAGAGTGGAGGCTGAGTCAAAGGGCAAATCTCTACAATTCCTTTACCCATTTCTTTCTCCCCACTGTCTATGGAATTAGTCTCCCATATTTTCATCTCCCCTTCACCTCCCCTTACCCATTCTCTCCTCTCTTTCACGTTTCTCCCCACCTCACCCCTCACCTCATAATCCTCCTCTCCCTCTCCTACACAGACACATCCTACAGCCCAGACATGATGTTTTTCCTTAAGCAGTTCTGGACTGCCCCTGTCTCTTCGCTGCCTGTGTGACTCCTGTCTGGGTTTGCCAAGCACTCCCTCTCCCTGTAATGTTGTCATTATCCACGGCAGGTTCCTAATCTCTAAAGTGTGCCTTTTCCGCTGTGTGTTGTGGTCCACTACAGTGTTTACACTGTCTGTAGCCTGTTCTCTGCTCGCTGTGCTCTGTGCTGTGCAGGGGGAATTTCCTGCCAAACATCACCAAGACATACATCAAGACCTGTAACTTCCACCCTGTGGAGCACCGCTACTGCCCTATCTTCAGACTGGGGGACGTCCTGAAATTCGCACACCAGGACTTCTATGCTCTGGCGAGCCAGGTACAGCTGTGTGCGCGAGGGTGGGGTTCCATGTGTCTGTGTCTCAGTGTCAGGGATTCTGGGTGCGTGAGTGGAAGTGTGTATGTGTATTAGAGTGCTCAGGGAATATCATGTGTCTGGCTGCTTGTCTCACTGCTTTTCCAGTCTGTGTTACCCTGTCTGTCTGCCGAGTTCTGTGTGTCATTTGTCTGGACTGTATTAACCCCTCTCTCTCAGTGCAGTGGTAATGTCCTGTAGTGTCCAGTCAGTGTGTCTGGACTGTATTAACCCCTCTCTCTCAGTGCAGTGTTAATGT